CAAAAATGTCTACCTTTCCTAGTAAACAAAGCACCTGGTGTCTCTGTGCCAACTTGAGCACAGCGCTAACACACTGTGCATCACCAGCCTCACTGAGTGCTTCAGGGTTCTGTAGGTGAAGTTTTTCATCGGGACCACAATCAGCTCTGTTCCACCCGCCACTTCCCAAATAACCACAGAGACTTATTATTAATTATAAACACTTGGCCAACAGTTCAGGCTTATTGCTAATGAGTTCTTATAACTTAAATTAACCCATTTCTACTAATCTATGTGCTACCCCAAGCCTCATGGCTTTTACCTCTAATGTTGTGTCCAAATTCTGAACTCCTAAAATCACCAAGTCTTTTATTGTTGTTTAACGAGCTAACTCCATTAGCCTGGGGCCCTTCATTGCAGTGGATGCCTAGAGAAGGACCCAGAGAATCCATGAGGCAAAGAATATATTGGGTAAAGCAGGGGGAGTACCTAGGGGTATGCAAGTCCAGGATTGGTGTGCTTCCGGGCTTGGGTGACCTGTCTTTTATTGATTGGTCAACTGGTTGTTATGGCCTATTGTCCCTCCCAGGGCAGGTGCTATGTTCTGCATGTCACTGTTGTGCACTTATACCGTAAAGCACACACAAAGCTGTAAACACAGCCCCACCAGCTAACTTCTGATTGGTTCTTTGCCACAAGGAGGGCATCTGACCTCCTAGTAAGTAGAGGAGGAGGGACAGGTCAGGCAAGCACATGTTGAGTCTTCAGCCTGTCGTGGCTGCTAAAGCAGGGGGCTGATCCCTTCACTGAATAGCCTGCTTCCTTTCCATCTGGCTGGCAACTCCTCTGACTCTGCCCTCCTTCTTCCCAGCGTTCTCTCTGCCCCGGAAATCCTGCCTAACTGTCGGCCAGTCAGCTTTTTATTAACAATGAGAGCAGCATGTCTTCACGGTGTGCAAAGACTGTTCCACAGCAGGGTTCACAGAACACTGCATGCTAGTTCAGGCCATTTCTCCATGAGCACCAAAGACACCCGGATCATTGGCTGTTAAAGACAGTGACTAGGCTGAGGGCTAAAGTGACGTGTAACCTTGTGCTCCTAGTGCCTCCCCACTGACACCTAGATGATGATCTTCATAACCCTGCAGCTTTGCTTACTAAGAAAGCAGCACACGTCTTGTCTCTTAGGCTCGGCCAGCTTCACTTCAGAGCTGCCCCTGTCCTTGTCCCATGCCCCTGGCCTCCAGTCTCCACTGCAGCTGAGGACGCATCTTCACGAGGGGCTTCTTCTTCCCTCTCTTCAGAAACACCAACACTGCCATCCAGTGACATACCTAGGCTGCTCTCTGTGACCCCATTGACGCCTTCAAAACCAGTACCACCTGGGTGACTCATACGCATCACCAACTTCAGCTGCCAGCATGAGATGCAGGCTTGGACTCCTCTGGACCAGCCTTTCTGTGCATGACCCTGAAGAAATACTTTCAGAAGATTCCACCTCAGTGATGCTGCTCTCTTCTTAATCATAGCTCATTTCTTGGCTCCATGTAACCAGTGCTAACCATCCCATAAAGGCTTCACTTTAACGGCCCTGGTCTCTTTTTAATCACAGTTAATTCTTCAGCCCCAGCTGACCCGGAGCACAGAGTGTTAATTAAAAATATCATTTAATGCCCTTGATAAGGCATTTTTAAGGGACTTCCAAATGTTCTTTCTGAAATGTCACAAGCCAGGTCTCCATCTTCGCATTGCCTTCAGCATCACCGCCCAGCTTGTCACAACAGCCCAGTGAGCTGTCAACGCTCAATGGCTTTTCCAACCTGAAGTTCCAGAGTCCTTCCACAATCCTCCCCACACCATGGTCAACTCTGTCACAGCAACACCTCACTCTTGCTACCAATTTCTGACTTAGTTAGGTTTCTATTGCTGTGAAAAAAACCCTGTAACCAAAAGCAACTTAGGGGGACAAAGGATTCATTTAGCTGCTACTTCCACACCACAGCCCATCACCAAAGGAAGTCAGGGCAGGACCTCAAGGCAGAAGAAACCTGGCAGCCAGAAGCCATGAAGGAACACTGCTGACTGGCTTGTGCTCCATGGAGTGCTCAGCTGGCTTTCTTACATAACCCAGCACCTCCCACAGTTAGCTGGGCCCACCCACATCAGTCATTAACCAGCCAATCAAACAAGTAAGGAGGTCCCGGACAGAGCAGCTTCCAGGGAATCTAGTTAAGACATTTCCTCAACTGAGATTGTTCTTTTCAGATAACTCTAGCTTGTGTCAAGTTGGCAAAACAACAAACTAACCAGGACATGGCCTAACTGTAGCTTGGTGAAACAATGAGTTTGTCTGGGTTGCTTCCAGGAACATGGTTGACTCGGGCAGTTTAACACCAGGAAGCTCATCTCAGTGTGGGGTCTGGTCAAGAAAGCTTCATCACTCCAGTCCCCCGTGGTGCATCAGAGATCCCCCCCCCTACTGCTTATGCTTATGTAACCTCCAGCCTCCTCCTCCTGATCTGGAACTTTCTCCTGAGTTTTTATAACTTTTATGTGAATTTCATGAGCCTTCCTCCTTATGTCCATGAGGAAATGTTTCCATTAGGAGGAACTAGCTATACAATAGGCATCAACACTGTCCCTTACGTGTTTATAGCAGGGGTATTGACATTGCTTGCCCGACATACTAATGATAATACTACATTTACAATAGTTTTAATAAGTGGGATTAATTCATTTGAATAGAACTAAGACAGCATTCTGGATAATTCCAGAACTCCTGGACTAATAGCAGACTCTTGGAGCTGGAGGAGCTCTTGAAGGTTGGTCAGTCTGTTTATCGTTATTTTAGATTTGACAGCATTCTGGATAATTCCAGAACTTCTGGACTAACAGCAGACTCTTGGAGCTGGAGGAGCTCTTGAAGGTTGGTCAGTCTGTTTATCGTTATTTTAGATTTGACAGCATTCTGGATAATTCCAGAACTTCTGGACTAATAGCAGACTCTTGGAGCTGGAGGAGCTCTTGAAGGTTGGTCAGTCTGTTTATCGTTATTTTAGATTTGGTTCTAGCACAGCGTGTTCAGTTCATAGCTTTCTGTAAAAAAATAAGTTTTGCTGTAAAAAATAATCATCGTCCTATTTTTTCATTTGAATGAACTAACATTGCTTTTTCCCCCCCTTAGCAACAAGGAAAGAAAATGATTCATATTATTCATACTTGAACGTTCATTCCAGTTGTGTCTGTGGGTCCTACAGACTCAGGCCCAGCGGGACGAAGCAAACCACTAAGGGACCTTTGAAGTCGGTGCCCCACGCGCTTTCTCTGCCTCCTGGTCACCACCATGTGAGCGGCCGCTGCTGCACAGTTCCCCTGCCTTAGTCTGCGCTGCTCCTCACCCCACGATACACTATAACCTCTGAGAACAAAAGTCAAATCTACCTCTCCTTCCTTAAGATGTTTCTGGTCAACGTTTTGTCGCAGGATGCTAGGGTAACTAACACAGCATGTGCTACTGCTTAGTCCTTTTACCTCTGAGCTCTCCGACTCTTCAGTCATTCATTCATTTGGAAGTTTCCTCTCAGATACGCTCAGAACATTTTTCAGCTGATGACCTGAGTTCTCTATCCTTTCCTGTCCAAGAGGGACTCTAGCTGTCAGCATCTCCTCAAATCTCAGTCAGAGTCTCTTAAACCTAATGACTCTATTTCACTTGGTTTGGAATTTCTCTTCCTGTAGTTCAGTCTAGAAGCTTCCTCCAGCACAGAACGGGGGTAACTGACCTCACCTCTCTTTCACTTCCGCCATGTATCACAGACCCACATTCCAGCATCTTTAAGCCATTGCGCTCCATGCATTTTCCTGGTTTTCTAGTTGCTTAAGAGGGAAAGCTATTAGTCCTGCTATTTCAAACTATTTATTCTCGGAGCACGAGAGTGCTGGTTCGCCACACGCCCTGCTCTCCTGGCTGCTGTGGGTGTGCAGTCACTCGGAGTAACTTACCTTTTTATTTGAATGTATTTTAAAGCAGTAGGCAGACTAGCAAGGCAGGATGACAACCGTGCCTTTGAATGGACGCATCCAGAGGAGCCACCGCCTGCACTGGCGACACCCGTGTGAAGACAGCACGCCAGAGATTGTGATACTTAGTATAGTTAATAAACTGGTGAGCAACACTAAGCAACCACTACCAAAAGGTGTGTTCTAATGCATCAAGATCAACAACAAAATTTTATTCGCTAGTGAATATCAATAAAACAAGCTCAAAGGCTGAGAACAAAAGAAGGAACGCTAAATCTAATGCCTATTATTTCATCGTAGCCAGTGATGGAATGATATACCCATCATCCCAGCCAACCCTCATTCCCTGGCTCTGAACTCCCTACACAGACATAAGCACGGAGAATTGTGTAACTATTTCTGGACTTAGGTTTTAGTGGGTGAGAAATATGTGGCTTCCACAGTTTTGGAAGAACAAGAATGGAACATGTTTTTACTAAGCTTTCCAGTGTCGTTTACATGGCCATGGCACCGACAGGAAGTTACTCTAACCAGATTGCAATGTTCCGACCCCTCACTTAACAGTTTTTGCTGTGATTAGAACTGCTGAGTGATGCTGAACGTAGGGTAGGGGCTCCATTTAAGTGTGTGAAGACTCCTGGGAACGGCGGAGGTAGATGCTCTTGTTTTGCCCTCCTTTGCGGCTGGAAGCAGACCAGTGTTACTATCAAATTTGCCTGCGCGATGGTGACAATAGAAATGACAGGAGCTCCATCACCGGTCCCCAGGGAGCCGTCCCAGGGTTGGAGGGAGGAAAGGATGGAGTCAGGGACCAATCCCAGAACCCTCCTTTTGCATCTGCATGCACATATTGAGTGTATGTGTGGCGGTGTGTGGGCTGACTAGTCGGAGCTAGCCAGCTTGCTGCAGGGTTGAAGTCTCTGACTTCCGGGTGTTAGGACTGCCCACAGGCGTCATGCCTGCCTGGCTGTTTCCTTGGGTTCCAAAGACTCTGGCCCTCGGCCTGTGAATGTATCATGCGCTGAGCTGTCTTCCCAGTCCAAACGCCCTTCTCACTCATGAGGCCACACCTGGGACACAGGACACCTGTGTGAGTGGGCGCAGACTGGAGGGAGTCAGCGTGCCCCTGGTCTGTCGGGTCAGCAGCTGTGGATTTGCCTTCTGATGGCAAGCGAGGCGATGTTCATTAAGGTCTGGCTTGGCAGCTTTTATTGTAATGATCTTTGAGTTACAGGGAGTATCTTAATTGGGCATTTTAGACTCACTTGAGGTTGACAGAGTCCATATAACTTAGCAGATTACCTTAGGAATTTCAAAATGTGTGTCTCAAAATAGAGCTTAGAAAAAACGGGGAGTAGAATCTGTGTTGGCTTTAAAATCCACTTTGAGCAAGGGAAATTTACAGCCTGGGCTGCCTTCTGAGTCCCTGCTGCTGATGCTGCACTTTGGGCGGCAGGCTGTCATTTCAGGGCAGGGTTTTCGTTTTAAATAATTTGTTCAAAATGAAATACTACTCTCTTTCAAGAAAACTTTAGGCTGAATTATTTTACCAAACATTTTCCATGTCATGCTAAGAGGTTAAATTTGCCACATCAATGGTGTTTTAGGGAAAACCAGCTACAACTGGTAACGAAGTGTCCCAATTCTCGCAAAGGCAGCAAGGAGGTTTGTGCTCCACCGGAAAGCCTTGCAGCTCCTAGAGCTTTGTGACGCTTTTCAACAGCGCCACCTAGTGGAGTTCCCTAGCTATAAAGGCACGGCTCACTGTAAGACCCTATCCTTGAGTCTTTGAATACCATGGTTTAGCTGAGTGTGATGGCATATACTTGCAATTCCAGCACTCGGAGGCTAAGACAAGAGGAAGGATTGACATGAGTTCAAGGAGATCCTGGAGTACACAGCAAGACTCTGTCTCAAAAACAAAACAAAACAAAGACCGAGAGGTTTGGGACGCAACTCAGTGGGACCAAAGGTGTCTAACATGTTCAAAGTCTTGCTTTGGATCCCAAGTACTGGGCTGACGTGGGAGGCGGCAAATGAACCAACCGTTCCTGATGTTGCTCAGCCTACTGATGAATGAATCCCAGTCCCTGAATTGATTGAGCGCAGATATATATTCAATCAACTTCCCGAAAGTTATTTACTGATTTCGTTTCCATGGTGACTGTCTTTTTGCCTCCTTTCACACTGTCCGCCCTCACCCCCGCCATAAAATCTCACTGGCGAATTAAGACATTTGCGTATAAAATAAGATGCAAGTTTCACAGAGTAGAAAGGGACGCGGGTTACAGGTGCCTGTTATAAGTGCAATGGTGTTTATACAGCTCACCAAACACGTTGCTGACGTCACAAGACGTCTCCAGATGTGTGTCCATGGGATGGTGGGAGAGGACAGCCAATGACAGTAGAGAGTTTGTTCTCCAGATTCATTTTATGTTCTCACTGGGAAAAGCTAGATTGTGTTTGCCAGATTCTCCTGCAGTTAGGCAGGAGGTTGAATTATGTCAGGTGGGATATGAATAGAACCTGGTTTCTAAAGTATCCTCCACAATTTCTTTGCTTCTCCCAAACCCCCTGATATCCGTCCTTATCCAGGCAGACCGTGGGCGCTTCAACAGCCTGTCCTCAGCCTATGCTCCTAACCTCACAACCTTGAGTGAATGCGATGCGGACAGAGCACATCTTATTACTGGACGCTAAGGATTTGGGGTTTGTTTGTTAATCGCACCGATGAGTACAGGACGGAAGAAAATGGAAGAGAAAAGAGATGCTGTAGTAGAGAACATGCTTCTCCCTCCGGAAGACGCCTGGGCTGTCTGACTCATCTGTGCAGGTTTCAGAGCAAGCGCGTGGTTGATAAATGCTGGAGACCCCAGCGGTACAGCTGGAACGCAGCGCCACGGAAAACACCGCTGACATACGAGCTTGGGAGCCAGAGAAGCTGGCTGTGACGGAGATGACGAAACTTGGGTAGAAATGCTTCCTGCAACTGTAGACGTGATGAGTCCAGGCAAGGTGCCTGCGCTGTGGGGTATTTAGGAATGGGGCCTGTCAGCTTTCGTGGTGTCTTTATACTGTCTTTCATGATGCTGACCGACCTCACGCTGTCAAACCTCTTCCATGCTAATTAAAGCTCTCAATAATCTCCATTCCAAGATTCCCTGCAATATATGATGTGTGTTTGTTCCCACAATAGTCAGGGTTTGCAGCACACATCCAACGCCTAAGGAGATGCTTAGATAAGCAAAGGAAACTAATGGGCTGCAGAGCAGGGAGTCTGCAGAGGAAGCTCTGGCATAAGGCTGTTGTCTGGAGGAAGAAAGGCAGACAAGCCTGGACACAGGAGGGGGTGAATGAGCCAAGTGACACGGTTAAACCAGGAGGCCGTTGATTTTGTGGGGTAAGGTGTGTGTGTGTGTGTGTGTGTGTGTGTGTGTGTGTGTGTGTGTGTGTGTGTGTGTGTGGAGGGCAGTTGAACAGTCTATCCCAGATGGAGGCAGGATAACAAGAGCTCTGGAAACCATCATGGAGAACTGAATTTAAAGCTAAGTCAGCACTCCAGATCAGTTAAGCACACAGACTTACCAAACCTTGCTTGGAGAGCTGCTATCTTCTGTTGTGATCCCCCCAAAATACACTCAAGATGGACGGAGATAGGACTGAACACCCTGTTCCTAAAGAGAAACATTCAGAGTTTATGCGAAGTGTCTGTCTGAATGTGACCTTGAGTGTCCTTTCTTATTGTCGGACTGATGACAAAAGGACCTTATCCCTGTAGACCCGTGACTCTCAACCTTCCCAATGCTGTGACCTTTTAACACAACTCCTCGTGTTGAGGTGAACCCCAACCATAAAATTATTTTCATTGCTACGTCATAACTGTACTTTTGCTACAGTTATGAATCTTGGTGTGAATGCTTTCTTTTCTTTTTCTTTATTTATTTGGGGGAGGGGGATAGAAGTTTGCCAAAGGGGCTGTGACCCACTGCTCTAGATCCTCCTAGCTCTGTATTGCCTTTTCTGCTATCAATCCCTCTCCTGTGGAGCTAACCCCACTTGTGCAGCCACAGTATTGGACATATGGCTCTGTTATCTCCTGCTCATTGTAGACACTTACTTGGCTCCCACAGAAACTCTATATCCTCCAAGGGAATGGACTGTGAGTCATTTAACTCTGGATTGGAGGAGTAAGGACAATGTCCACTCCCTGAAAAGTAATGGAGTAATATGCCATAGATGCATGCATGCTGGATGAAAAGAAGATAGGTAGAAAGTAAATGTGCTGGGTCTAGACCTTATAAAACAAGCCTTGACTCCTAGATACATGGGAGGGCTGAGGCAGGAGGATCGCAGGTTCAAGGCCAGTCTAGCTATTGAATGACTTCAGGGCCAGCCTGGAAAAGTTAGTGAAGATTGTCTCAAAATAAAAAATAAAAAGTGGGCTGGAGATCAAATTCAGTGATAGCACACTTGCCAACCTTACACGGGACTCTTGAGACTCTAAGTTCTATCTTGAGGAAAACACAGAGAGAGGGGAGAGAGAGAGAGAGGGAGGGAGGGAGGGAGGGAGGGAAGAAGGGAGAGGGAGAGGGAGAGGGAGAGGGAGAGGGAGAGGGAGGAGGGCCTTGTGGTGATCCCAGCACTTAGGAGACTGAGGCAGGAGAATCACAAATCCCAGGCCAGCCTGGATTCTATAGCAAAAATCCTGTCTTGAAAACGAAATGACAAAACCAGAGCAAAAGAGGCTCCATTCATGTGCCCACCACAGCTATCCCCTGCACTCATCTGTCCATGTGTCATCTGTCTTCCTTTATGAGACTTAGACTCGTTGAGTCTTAAACTCATTCTCAGCATAGTTCAAGGTCTGCCATGTTTAAAACACTAAGTGAAATGATCTTTGAGCGAATAGATACATGGCCCGATGACACAAGACCTCAGAAAGAATTCAGTTAAAGAAAACGATTAGTTAGCCAGCTGCAAAGACAGTGCCACGGCCAGATGTGGTACGACTCTGGCATACATGGAGAGGCATGGTGGAGGCACTTGAATCATGGTTAGAACATACAGCTTAAGATAAACAAATCAGAAAATGTTCTGCTGGCCATGGGAATTTGGGGAGGCTTCGATACTGAGACATTTAATCCACGAATAGAATAAACCAGGTAAGTCATCATTGCTATGCTGCTTCTCAGAGTAGAGCCTGCAGTAAAGAGGCCAGTCAAAAATGAGCCATGGGGGCTAGACAGGTGGTTCAGCCAATAGGAGCACTGGTTGCTCCGCCCGATGACCCAGGTTTGATTTCCAGCACCCACATGCTGGTGCACGGTCATCAGTAGTGCCACGGTACCTGGCACCCTCTTGTGACCACTGTGAGCACTGCACAAATGCGGTACACAGGCATACATGCAACCTATTTACATAAAACAAAATAAAATTAGAATAAAATGAAAAATAAAGTAAGCCTCGGTCTCTGGTGAGGGACATGGTTCAGTGAGAAGTTGACTTTCTCTGAAAGGCTGAAGAGATACGCTGATCCAGTCTGGAGTTCAGAATCCTCTCGTCTCAGATTCAGGCCGCCTCGCTTCGAGTTCTGGAATTGTAAGTGCTTGCCAAGATTTTGAGACTCTAAATCACATATTAATAAAAAAAAAAAGACAAAATATTTCGATCATTGTGTAAGTTTGTATCACAATCAATTGGGATTGTTCGGATTCTGCCTCCCCAAGCCACACCCATCAAATTACCTAACAAGGAAAATGATGAGGGGGAAGAAGGAGAGAATAGAGTGTATATATATATGGGAAGAAAGAACACAGGCGTCCTTCTGGAAGATTTCAGGAAACACTGGGCTTAAACACTTTGCCCTTGGTGTTTCATAAGGTTATCATAATAAGATATAACAAGATGAAGCTAAGGAATTACTTATTTTATTTTAAAAGACTAGACTAGCCGGGCGTTGGTGGTGCACGCCTTTAATCCCAGCACTCAGGAGGCAGAGGCAGGCGGATCTTTGTGAGTTCGAGGCTGGGCTGGACTACAGAGTGAGTTCCAGGACAGTCTCCAAAACAATACAGAGAAACCCTGTCTCGAAAAACCAAAAAAAAAAAAAAAAAAAAAAGACTAGACTGTTGTTCAAAAACTTAAAATCTGAATTTAAAAAAATAAACATAAAGTAGTGCATGGAGGGGCACACCTTTAATCCCAGCACTCCAGAAGTAGAGGCAGGAGGATCTCTGTGAGTTCCAGGGCAGCCTGGTTGGTCTACACAGTGAATTCCAGGACAACCAGGACTACTTAGAGAGACCCTGCTTGAAAAAATCAATAGAAACAGATAGATAAATAGATAGATAGATAGATAGACAGACAGACAGACAGACAGACAGACAGACAGAATGATCAGATCCCACTCCTGTGTATACATCCAAAGAAAACAAAACCACTGTGTGGGAGAGATATCTGCACTCAATTTCATTGCAACATTAGTCACAGCAGCCGAGATATGGTTCTCACCCTGAGAGTACCTCAGAGAACAACTGGGTAAGAAACCACTGGGATGCAATATTCACAATGAAATACCATTCAGTGTATAAAGAGGAAGAGAATTTTGTCATCAACAGCAATGTGGATGAGCCTGGGGGACATGGTGATAAATGAAATAAACCTGGCACAGAAAGACAAACTCTGGAAAAGCTGAACTCCTAGAGAGTAGAATGGTTGTTATCGGAGTCCCAAGGGTACAAGGTTTGGGGAGATTTTGGTCAAAGGCCAAATGTTCATTAGATGGGAGGAATACATTCGAGAGATCCATGGCACATAATGGTGATTACACTCAATGGCCATATATCCTATATTTGAAAGTTGCTAAGAAAACACATGTCTAATCTACCTACAAAAAATAAAATGGATGATTTACATGTGATTCTCGTCTTATGCATTGTCTTCAAACATCACTTTAAATAGGGGCCCATGCCTTGCCTGGGTTGGCTTTGAGTTTGCTTTGCAGCTGAGGCCAGCCTTGGAGTCTGGATCCTCCTGCTCCCACCTCCCAAGTGCTGGATGACCTCACCGTGTTATTTGTCTCTCTAGCTCCCCAAAGTCTGGGCAGGGCTGCTTATGTTTGCACATCTACTCCATTTGTCCTTAGTTCATTCCCAGCTGGTCACTAGTTACTCTGTAGCAAAAGGGAAATCCCTGTATAAGGAGATAACTATTTTCCAACTGTAGAAGAGGGAAGACAAATCCTTGCATATTCCCAGGATAAGACTGTTTTCATTACACCTTTGATTACAAAGTCAACAACATCAAACTGTGTGTATACTTTGACTTTTAAAAATTTGTTGTAAAGCTAATTACAAATAAACTTACAAGACTAATAAAGTACAAGTGTGTGCATGCTCAGATGTGTGTGTACTCATGGGTATGGAGTCCAGAGGTTGACATCAGGCATCTTCCACTCTCCATCTTAAATCTCAATAGGCAGGCTCTCTCATTTGAGCCCAGAGAACAGGAATTCTGCTAGTCTCGCCAGCCTGCTTGATCCTAAGACCCCCTGCGTCTACCTCCCAAGTCTGAGATTACAGGTGGGCCACCGTGGTGGACAGACATTTCTGTTGGTGCTGGGGGTTCTAACTCTAGTCATTTCCACACTGAGCCATATCCTCTGTCCTGAGTAGGGATATGTTTTTGATCCAACAAAACAATGATTTGGGCTGAGTCTGGGAAAAGGTCTTTGGGGAATCTTCCATGACAGTGATGTTTCACCTGCTGGTTGAGTCACTGAGGGCTGCTAACGTTTTTCCTTATGAAGAATGACACTTATTTTAACTGATTCATTATTTAGCAGAGCAGACCTGCTTAATAGCAACCTGCAATCCAATGTTAGCAAATATTTAATAGTGAAGGAGCATCACAGATGAACTGCTGCTGGTGGCTATATACAAAAATGGAATCTACGTGCTGTGACATGTGACATCAAGTGACTAGTCACCACTTCCCTGCATCTGAATGACTGCCAAATCCTTATTCAAACAGTGGGCCAGAACATCCCGTTATAAGGGGTTATCTGAGCAATGCAGATCTACAGACATTAAAGGAGCAAAAGACAACTAGAACTTGAGGTGCCTTTTTGTTGGTGATTTTTTAATAACTTATTTACTT